AAAAAAAAAAAAAAAAAAAAAGACTTTAAGGATGAAACCAATACATTTACCATGTTTTCTCTGGAATGAAATGGAGAATATTCGTCTAAGCTTTTAATTATTATCATTTCCTTTAAAATGAAAATATCATTATTGGAAAATTTTGATTTTAAGAAATGCGGTCTTGCTGTTTGGCCAATCTGGAGGCAGCAGTGTGATAACAGCTCACTGCATCCTCCCGCTTAATCTCCCAGAGTGCTACAACCACAGGTGTGAGTGGTGCTAGGCCAAACTTTCAGATCTTATGGTTAGACCAGGGCATCCCTGTGGAGAGAACAGTAATTTGACTTGGTGTGCTTCCCTCTTGTGCCCCAGGACCTCCTCAGATGCAGAGTTCTAACGTCGGGGATTTTTGAGACACGATTCCAAGTGGACAAAGTCAACTTCCAGTGAGTGTCGCCATGCGTGGCCCTGTGAGGTGGCAGGTGTGGGGTCTCAGTGCCTGCCTTTCAGATGAGGGTAGCCAGCATGAAATTTGAACTCTAGCAGGGGCTGAAATGTTAGTTGTTATCCCCTTCCTTAAAGTATAAATGAGAAAGAAAACAGTGTTTTCATCCCTGCCATGGATTTGATGGCCCTTTTCTTAGATGGGGGCTGCATCAAATTTATCTTTCCAGCCTGTGGCCTTTTGGGCGCACGCTCACTGCCTGAGAGCTGGAACCAGCGACCTCCTGTTGTCTCTAGCAGGGTCTCCTGGGCTGCCCAGGCATGGGCTCCACTGGGCAAACTTCTTTTTGTCTTCATTTTTCTCCCTTGTGATAAGTTAATTCTCCCCTCACAAGCTGGTGCACTGTGCAGTCTTTTCTATCCCTGTGGCCATGGCCCTGCTGCCCCTTCACTGTCCCAGACTCTCAGCAGGGGTCTGCGGGCACTTGTGTGTTGGCTCAGCCATTCCACCCTACTCTTCAAGGAAGAGGCTTTCCCAGAGCACAGCTGGGACTGAGCCATTCCCATGCACCCTATTGGCTTCCGGCCTGGCCCTGCGTCTCCTCCTACAGCCAACCCCACTAGGCTGGGTGGCCATCAGGGTCATTCTTCCACCCTTGCCCTCCCTTAGAGGTGCCTTCACTTATGCTGTCCTCTGAGTCTTAGACGCTGTGCAGACCCCACAGACCTACTGTGCAGCTGCACCCGGTAATGTCGCAGCAGCTCCAACACATTGAGGTCCCTGCAACAGGAGCTCTGGAGCCCTATGCGGCCCTGAAGCTCCCACAGTGCTGAGCGCTGTCCTGGTCTGCAGGTGACGGGCACCCACTTCTGGATTCCTGAGAACCCCTCATGGTGCTACTGTCAGGACGAACAACCTGGATAAAACCCAGCTGGTCTCTGCATGTGGCAAGGGGTGCACAGTGCAGTCAGAGTTGGCAGGATTTGTGTTTTTGCCTACATCTTAACCAAGTTGCTGGCACAGTGGAACTTTTGGCTATCAAGTTTGACCCTAAATTGTGTTGTTTTTTTGTTTTTTTACAAGTGTTCTGCTAGTCAGCACCTCTGTGTGCCCTACATGTGCTAATGGCACAGCATGCAGGTGACAATCTAGTAGAGTCATTAGCAGGCTTTCCCGGGACAGTCAGGTACAGTGTATGTGGCCCTGAGGCACGTGCACTCAGGTTCAGGGAAAGAGGAATCTCAGAGCCTGAGGAAGTTGGAAAGTTCTGGCATTTGAGTGAATAGAGAAAGAAACTGTTCCAGAGGGAGAAGTGCATTAGGCTGAGACCGGGCACTGGGAAGGGGGATGAAGAACTGCAAGGTGTGGCTGGGGAACCCAAAGACAGCTGGGTGTGCCTCAGCCTGGGAGACCGGAAGAGGCTTGAGGCTGGCGAATGTCCCAGCTGAATTCAGAAGGTGATAAAGGCCCCCTATGGGGCACTGAGCAGAGGACGCTGGTAACCAAGAGGGGTGTCAATGTAAGCAGGGAAGCAAGGGCCCTTTCTCCATTCTCCAAGGGAGGGAAGACATCACGTCCTGAGAGCTGGCACAAGTCCTAAGAAGGATCTGCCCTGGGCAGGGTCTTAGCTTGTACTCAGACCTATCTAAGGAGAAGGTTTAAGCCAGAAGCTGCTGCATCATGGCATTTTTAAGTGCACACTGTATGACCCTGAACACTGCCATCCTCTCTATTCATGCTAGCTCACTGCTACAACCACCGTGGGGTAAGAGAGGAGAGACAGAGGCAGGGACAGGCAGAGTCACCCATGCCCTAGGTCACGCCAGCAGTGGTGTAGGCTGGACAGTGGCTAGAGCCCCACTTCAGACCCACGTGTGAGTGGCTGGAACCAAAAGGAGGAGAGCAAAACAGACACCACTGCCCCAGCCCTAATCATCTCCCTGTTGCTTCTCCACAGCATGTTTGATGTCGGCGGCCAGAGGGACGAGAGGAGGAAATGGATCCAGTGCTTTAACGGTGACTCACGCTCCCTCGGGAAAGTGGGAGTGAATTCCAGCACTCGCTCCTACTGCCACTGTTTACCTGTTTTTAATTAGACAATTTCTAACCTAACTAGTACCTAAAGCATAGCATTTTTTAGATTATTACCCTTCCTGCTTAGATGTTAATCTCATAACTAAAGAACATAAGTAGCCCAAATTAACATTTCTCTTCTTGGGAGGTTCCTCCTCGTTACTGAACAACCAGCTGCACCCACATGTGGTGCAGGGTCAAGTCATTCCATGCTGGGTGTGTACTATGACCACACCATGACTGTGTCTAATTAAGGTGTCCCTCGTTCTCTTTCCTGCCACTAAGATGTCACTGCCATCATTTACGTTGCGGCCTGCAGCAGCTACAACATGGTGATTCGGGAGGATAACAATACCAACAGACTGAGGGAATCCCTGGACCTTTTTGAAAGCATCTGGAACAACAGGTTATAAAAATAACAAATTGGATTGCAAATTTCCTTTTATTAAAAATACCCACAGCTGGGCTCGGCGCCCATGTTCAATGGTTAGGGTGCCAGCCACATGTACCAGGGCTGGTGGGTTCAAACCCAGCCAGGGCCTGCTAAAATGACAATGGCAATAATAACCAAAAAAAAAAAAAAAAAATAGCCAGGCATTGTGGCAGGCATCTGTGGTCCCAGCTACTTGGGAGGCTGAGGCAAGAGAATCAGTTAAGCTCAAGAGTTTGAGGTTGCTGTGAGCTGTGATGCCACAGCACTCTACCTAGAGGTACAAATAAAAAATAATTTTAACTAGTCACATTGTATGAGGTATTATAAATCATCTAGAGATGATTTAAAGTATAGTAGAGGATATGTGTACATTGCATGCAAATATTGCAGCATTTTATGTCAGGGATTTCAACATCCTCAGCTTTTGGGGTCCACAGGGAACTCTAGAACCCAATCACCATGGACACCAAGGGATGATTGTATGTACAGTTCAAAGTTGGTTTTGTCTGATTTTAGGAAGAGCCACTTTAGAATAGCCACTAACAACTAGAAGACTTCTAAAATCCCTCACAGCTCAAAATCACCACCAGATCATGTGTGATCAGCATTGATCACTCCAGCACTGCAATGGCAGAAGAGACTAAGAAATGAGTATCAAGCAGATACCACAGTCTATACACACAGAGCTAAAATCAGGTTTCTTCTGAAATATTTAGGAAGAAACATCACCAAGGATGATAGAAAACATAAGTTGACCTTGCAAAAGAATTTGATTATCAGAAAAGTGTTTCTCTCAACAACCATCTTCAGTTTTATAGTATTCAGACAGTTAAGAAAGGTCGGAAATACCAGGCATACAGAAGAATACTTTGGAACCATTATAAATTTGTATACACACAGAAAATGACCACAGTTGTCATACAAAAAAAAAGCAGATTTTAAAACATGATTGGCTGAGTGTACTGCCTCACGCCTGTGATCCTGGCACGTTGGGAGGTAGAGATGGAAGGATCACTTGAGGCCAGGAGTTCAAGACCAGCCTGGGCAATATAGCAAGACTCTTTCTCTACAAAAAATAGACAAAATTAGCCAGGCATGGTGATCTGCACATATGGTCCTAGCTATTTGTGAGGCTAAGTCAGGAGGATCACTGAGCCTGGAAATTCGAGGCTGTAATGACCTAGGATTGTACCATTGCACTCTAGTCTGGTTGACAGAGTGAGATCCTATCTCAAAAAAAAAAAAAAAATCATGATTTTATTTTTATAAATATGGGATAGGATAAAAGAAAGCCTAGCATAAAAGTGTAACAATTCTAGTAAGTCTCTGAGTGTAATGACATTTGATTTTTTTTCTATATGTTTTTCTATAATGGACAATTTGTTTTTGCAAAGACTATATATTTCAGAACAATAAGAAATAGTAAAACTTAATTCCATTTAAGAGGAAAATGGATTGTATTTTTAATTTATATTAAGATCCCTATAGTCAGTCAGCTTGATTCCATTGAAGTATGAGACACCCACAGGCTCTGCTGACAAGCACAGTGCTCGTTCTAAACCACTTCCTAGCTCCAGTTTCATGAACCGTGAGAACAGAAACCTTTCATACCTCCCATTCATGGTACCTGAGCCAGCTTCTTTTAGCTTGTCAAACAAAGTGCAGTGAATCTACATCTGATTAATAGCATGCTTCAAATTTGGAGAACCTTAGACCTGTTCAAAGAAAAGAGAAAGGCAGAAGAACCAAGTGCCCAGCTCAGAGCTAGGAAGTGGTTTAGAAGAAGCACAGAGCTAATTAAGCTGTGTTATTAGCTGTTAGTTGAGTCATGCATTGCTCTGTTGTTAACACTTTATAACTTCATCTAGAGTGTTGTCTGACATGTTATCGGTTAATTTACACCACAAAAATCCAAGTGTATTTTTTTCTTTTGAGACAGTCTCAAGCTGTCACTCTGGGTAGAGTGCCATGGTGTCATAGCTCATAGCAACCTCCAACTCTTGGACTCAATCGATCCTCTTGCCTGTTTTTCTATTTTTAGAAGAGATGGGGTCTTGCTCTTGCTCAGGCTGGTCTTGAACCTTTGAGCTCAGTTAATCCACCCAGAGTGCTAGGATTACAGGCATGAACCACCTGTATGAGCCCCAAGTGTATTAATTACATAGGTAAATCTTAGCTTTGATATTAGTAAATTTATATCCCGAGCAAATCAGAAAGTGACAGACTGCTAAATTAACTACAGCTTGAGTATCTCTTATCAAAAACACTTGGGACCCAAAGTATTTTGGATTTTGGATTTTTTCAGATAATAGAATATTTCCATTATGTTTACTGGTTTAGCATCCCTACCCTAAAAATCTAAATTGTGAAATTACCCAATAAGGATCGCCTTTCAGCATCATCTCAGTGCACAAAAAAGTTTTAGATTTGGGAGCATTTCAATTTTGGATTTTCTGGTTGGGTCTGTATTTATCATTGTTTATAGGTGGGCTTAGCATGTTGGTGTACCAAATGATTCTAGAGCCTATGTATTTTTAGGAAGATGGTAGTGTTAACTTAGCAACTTGTATGTTAGAAGTATATTACTCGTGTATGTGAAATTTGTATGTTTATTTCCCCTTTTTAGGTGGTTACGGACAATTTCTATCATCTTGTTCTTGAACAAACAGGATATGCTAGCAGAAAAAGTCTTGGCAGGGAAATCAAAAATTGAAGACTACTTCCCAGAGTATGCAAATTACACTGTTCCTGAAGATGGTAAGATGTTCAAAGCACAGTGCTCACAATCAAGGAATAGAATTAGCTGATTATTCAAAAATCCTATAACTTTAAACACTTCTGATTGATCTAAGAAATCTAATTAATTTAAGTCAATTCACTCTTCCACTGCCCTGTCCTGAAGTATTGGAGTATTGTGGTGTCCTGTGGAGGACAGACTCCCCCCCAGGGCGACAGGTCAGGTGGGGACTCCACTCCAGCAGGTGAGACGAAGGGTATTGGAGCCTGAGTGCTCCTGGGCACGTTCTCCTCTCTGGTACCCTCAGTGTGGTCTGTTGTGACGGAAAGACCCAACTTCACCCTCACAGTGCCCCTATGTGGAGCTTCTATTCTTTCCTGTGGAAACCAAGGCTGAGAGAGACAACGTGATGTGTTAAGACTCTGAGGGCTGGGCAGTCCTTGCAGCCTGCATTCTCAGCCCACACTCTGACCACTGGGTTCACATGATCCAGCCACCCTCAAGAGCTGAACCCTCTGAGAGTCCTCCTCCTAGGAACACTACTGCACTGAGTTTTGGAGGGACACGAACATTCAGACCTTAGCACCACCAACGAAAAGCTCCATCCCTACTGTAACTATTAAAATTTAAATGATTTAGGAGAAAAAGAAGGGAATAAAAATTACATTTTCATTACAGCAGCCCAACTTTGTAAGTCCTTCTATGTCTCCATGGAGTTGTATGGTCCATGTTGCTTAAATAAAATTTGTAATTTCCACAGCAACTCCAGATGCAGGAGAAGATCCCAAAGTCACAAGAGCCAAGTTCTTTATCCGGGACCTGTTCTTGGTGAGCAGTTGTTTTCCTACCCCTTAGAGTTGTATTATTCTTTGCAATTTGCAGATTACTTACCCTTTCATGATCTCATTTCATCTTCTCTGAAAGTATGAGCAATGAGAGGAGGTCTGGTACTTTGACTTCAGAGTGGTTAGATTTCTCACCCATGGTCACACAGCCCCCAGGAATGCACTCAGGTGGGCTAGTTCCCTTGTTCTAGTTTCCAAAATGACAGAGTCCTTCAACAAGTATAAAACACACTTTCTATACCCAAAAGCAGTGACAGGCTAAAAGTTAACATGAAAATAGACATGCTGAAATTCTGACATTTTCCTTTATTTTCCTTCAGCGGTTATTTTGAGCTCATTTCAAACTTCCATGCAAAGTAAAGGAAGTATACACAAATCAGCCACTTGGCAGGATTTTTGTCACAGTTGCCCCGTTTACCTATTTTTGTTTCCAACAGAGAGTAGTGGATGTGAGTTTTTACCATACCATCTTGGAATTAGTAAAGTGCCAAGACCTTCCTATGCATGTAACATTTATCAAAGGACCACTGACTTCTGGAGAGGTGGGGAATCTCAGCCTGGGCAGCCCCAGGAATGGTCCACACTGTGAGTCCTTTCTGGGGGCTCAGACCCGTCTGGGCTTTCTCTGCCCTCTTCCAGCTACCCATGGGGGTTGCCTCTTGAGTTCGAAAGTAAGGATGGTAAAACATCTAGTTGGCAGAGTGAGTTCTGAAGAGCAAGAGTTCCCAGTAAGTAAGCAGCTGGTACTGAGGCTTCCACAGCTGAGATTTGGGACATGTGTGACACGGTTTTTCTGCTATCAGAAAAGATTTTGCCCTGCAAAATCTTTGTTTGCTGATAAGCACTGCAGGGCTCTCTACTGACAGAATTTGGTAGGAAAGCAGTCCTTTTCTTGAGGAACATCTTTTAAGACATAAAATATAAAATGTTCCATAAAATGCTCTTCTCAGGAGAACCAACAGGTAGTTAAGCATGCAGAGGTTGAGCATTTAGATGAAGATTAGAAAGGTATGTACAGATCAGTCTGAGCCAGAGTGAGACTCCATCTCTAAAAACATAGCAAAGTTAGCTAGTCACCTGCCTTTCCAGCCACATGAGAGAATGAGGTGAGGATCACTTGACCCACAAGTTTGAGGTTGCAGTGAGCTGTGATGATGCCATAGTGTTTTAGCTAGTGTGACAGAGCAAGACTTCATCTCCAAAAAGAAAAAAAGAGGCTTGGTGCCTGAAGCACAGTGGTTATAATGCCAGCCCCATACACTGAGGCTGGCAGGTTCGAACCTGACCTGCTAAAACAACAGTGACAACTGTAACAAAAAGTAGCCGGGGGTTGTGGCAGGCACCTATAGTCCCAGCTATTTGGGAGGCTGAGGCAAAAGAATTGCTTAAGCCCAAGAGTTTGGGGTTGCTGTGAGCTATGACGCCACAGCACTCTACTGAGGGTGACATAGTGAGACTCTGTCTCAAAAAAAAGAAGAAAGGTCTTTACACCCTCCCCCAAAATCAGTGGGCAGGCCTTGGACAAACTTTTTATTCTAAAAGTGGGCAAAACCTGGCTTTTATGCAGTTTCTAAATCAGGGAGAAGCGTGGAAGCTTTTTACTTCCACATTGAACTATAGAATTTACCTGGGGCAGTGAGGAGTCCCAAGCTGGAAGCAAAGCAGACTTGGTTCCTCATCAGTACCTGGGAGCAGCATCAGTGAAACAGCAACTCTGGACTGCAGGGCCCCAGGAGAAGGGGGGGGTAAAAGTCATTGATGGAGAGGCAGGCACAGGGAGGGTAGTATCCTTTGAGAAGGGTAGGACAGGCTCGACGCCTGTGGCTCAAGCGGCTAAGGCGCCAGCCACATACACCTAAGGTGGCGGGTTCAAATCCCCAGCCCGGGCCCGCCAAACAACAATGATGGCTACAACCAAAAAATGGCCAGGCGTTGTGGCAGGTGCCTGTGGTCCCAGCTACTTGGGAGGCTGAGGCAGGAGACTCGCTTGAGCCCAGGAGTTGGAGGTTGCTGTGAGCGTGATGCCGTGGCACTCTACCCAGGGGGATAGCTTGAGGCTCCATCTCAAAAAAAAAAGAAAGAGAAGGGTAGGACAGTGAGTTTGGACAGGGCAGGGTGTGGGCTCAGTGAGAACAGGCCACTTGCTCTGTCTGTGAACACTTAGTGCATGGTACTGTCACTGCTCCAGGAGGGACTAATCACCAGCCCTCCCAGACAAGGCCTCTGCCTTCGGGGCAGGGTGGGGTGAACGAAAAGCCTTCTCCTGAGGCAGAAGGAACCTAGAACCAGAGAGGCCAGGACCAGGAACAGCCACATGGTCAGCCAGTGTCCTACCAGTTACCCTAAACACTCTTGTCCCTCCAGCTGAACAGCTGCCTCCGCACCCTCCTGGGCAGAGGCTACAGATGCACTGTCCCAGTAGGCAGTAGCTGTGTAGTCACCCTGCCTCTGGGTGCTCCGGTCAGTGCTGTGTCTGCCTGGCGCCTGCCTAACAGGTCACAGGCCCACTGGAGATTCTGTTTACCTTGAACATCACCCCGTAAGAGTGACCGCCTGGGACTGCCCTGTTTTCCTGGTCAAGAGTATTTCTATCATTTTAAATGAAAATCAGTGGACAAATCAGGTATGTGGAGAGATTTAAACTATTTGAAGTTTGCAAATTACATCACCCATTCCCTAAGTTATGGTGGCTCCAGACAGACGGACGCAGTCAGATCATTCCAGAGGAAGCCTGGTTTTCACGCACGACCAAACACTTGGCACATGCGGCAGATAGCCCAACCTGGGCCTTGGGACTAAAGAGATACACAAGCTACTCCTAAAGTTTAAAAATGAACAAAAAACCAACCTGCTCAGGACAGACCTGAGGAGCACAGTCTGGATGGGCATTTCCATGGGCCCTTCCCACACCATGCAACTCTCCAAAAGGGACCCTCTGCCTCAGAGAAGCTGGCTGCCCAGAGCCCTGCTACGAGCAGCTTCCACTTCCCCAGTTGCGCTGTCCCCATGCTGCCGGCCCCCATGTCTGCTCAGTGCTCTGACATGGCCGTCCCTCATGGTCTCCTACATGGGACCTCGTGAGGTTGGTTAGGGCCTCATTTTACCCTAGTTATGTCTGTAAGACCCATCTCCAGAGGCAGCTGCAGTGAGGTATGGGTTAGAGCTTCAGCGTTTGAGGTGGAGGACACAGTCCAACCCATAACGCCCCTCCAAACATGACTCTCAGCACCTCACTCTGAGACGTCCTCACAAATCATAACTGGTGATGTTTAACCCTGCATTTCCCAGAGTTATGTGACAGCAGAGCACATTCCTCCCAGACCACCCTTAGGTGCTCCTGGCTCACCAGGTGACCCCTTTTTAGTACAGGCTGAAGTTCACCTGGAAGCCAAGTTGACAGAGGCTCCGTCTGATACAGAACCACTGGTCACGTGTGAATGTTACATTAATTAAAACTAAATGGAGATCAGCCCCTGGGTCAGCTGCCATGCTGACAGAGTTCTGTCCCACTGCTGCAGCCCAGACCGTCTCCTGACTACTACTCCGGTGGCTGTCTCTGCCCTGGCCATGCTCAGAGATAGGCCCCTGTGGACTGGAGTCAGCTGGAGGCTGTCTGGGCCCCTGCACAGTGCTGGTATCTAGTTCCAGCAGCTGGGAGCTCCCTGGGAAGCTGGTGGATGGACAGAGCACCTGGGAGTCCAGCCCTGCTGTCACCCCAGCCTTCCCCCAGGTGGGTGGCCGCGGGCCTAGCAAATGGTCTCTCTTGCAGAGGATCAGCACAGCCACGGGTGACGGCAAACACTACTGCTACCCCCACTTTACCTGCGCCGTGGACACGGAGAATATCCGCCGGGTATTCAACGACTGCCGCGACATCATCCAGCGGATGCATCTCAAGCAGTATGAGCTGCTGTGAGGCCCACCCGCTGCCCATGTCTACCCTGTGTCTGTGCCCCCTGTCCCCACCTGTGTCTGCACCCCGTGTCTGCACCCCATGTCCACTTGTCCAAACCAGCAGGATGGTAAATTTCTATTTCTTTGTCCTACTGTGTCTGCCTGCCGTGACCACCGCACCTCGGTGACCTCTGCCCACCCCAGGTCTGGTCTGTCACCTGTTTTCTTTGACCATAGGCTCCCTGCCACCACCCTGCTCGGTGGCACTGCAGCGAAGTCCCTGTGGGCCCCTCTTCGCTCACTCATTCACTGAGTCATTGCAGAGAACTCAGCAGACAAGACAAGCGCTTCTTCCATGCTCCTCGCATGACTTCGGGCATTTGAGGCAGCAGGCCTGGGGCTAGCAAGTGACTATCCCTTGTCTGCCAGGCCCAGGACTTAGAATAGACCCCAACCGACATGACAAGAGACCCTTTTGGGGTTGTGTTCAGAGTCGGTGCTAGCCTCAGGCATTTGAATTAGAATTACTTTGAACCTTCTGCATTTATAGGGAAAATCTGTCACAGTCACCACTGCAAAATTTGGCTTGTCCAAAACTGGTTCTCTAAACTTGCCCCACACCATGGGCATACGCTTCTTTCCTAGATTCTGTGCTGTTGTTTCATTGCTGGTTTATTTTACTGTATAGAACACAAAATGTAAATTCTTTTATATAACTACTAAGGAAAAATCCTGTAGATCTTTGTGCCTTGATCATAGCTATACCTATATAAGAACTGTGTTTTATTGTGCTAAGTAGCTTAATGCAAACATTTCCTGCCTCTTACTCTATGAAAGAAAAGGAATGACATCTGCAGAACTCAGTGTGTTTTAGGTCAGTCACAGTGATCCTTGCAATCCTGGCACTCTGGGTGGCTGATGCAGGAGGACTGCCTGAGTAGAGGAGTTTGAGACCAGCCTGAGCAAGAGTGAGACCCCATCTCTACTAAAAATAGAAAAACTAGCTGGGTGTTGTGGCGGGTACCTGTAGTCCCAGCTTCTCTGGAGGCTGAGGCAGAAGGATTGCTTGAGCCCAGGAGTTTGAGGTAGCACTCTACCCAGGGCATTGGGTGAAACCTTGTTTCAAAAAAAAGTAAATAAAAAGAATTTAGTATATTTTATCAGGTTGATACTTTATAAAAGACTCCCCAATTAAAAGAAAATATTATAAGTTATACTTCTTAATCATCTGTACCTTACCAACAATGTCTTGCTGACGTGGCAAGCTGCCCCTGCCACCTGCTTGCACTTCTCAGAGCCTCAGCTATCAAACTGAGCTGAGTCAGAGTACAAATCTAATGTTCTTTCAGGGAGTCAGGGATTTTTTTTTTTTTTTTCCTCTCCAGATACTGTTTTTCTTGATTACCTTGCTAGTTAAAGACTTCTCAGCAATTCCCTGAGTCAAAGCTTTGGACACAGGCTCCATCACACAAGTAAACAGACAGCAAGATAAAAACAAAATGGCACCAGATGTATGTGTGTTTGGCCTGGGAGAATAAGGATGGCATCTCCATTTGTATTTTGGAGAAGAAAATTACAAACTTCTACTTAAAATATAAAATCAAAATACATGGCTTTTTCTCACACTTGAAAATTTGCAAGTGCAACCTCAAACGTTACGGTGCACAAACAGCATGTACAGAGTAGGACTGCTGAGCAGGACACTTTACCTTCACAGGTTGTCTGCAGCCACGGCTGCAAGGGGAGTTCACACAGGTGCAAAATAGCCTGTAAAAATGTCCAAAGTTAAGGCTTCAACAATACAAATCCAGAAAAGTGAATGCCTACATTATTTCATTAATTTCCTTTTAATCTTTAGTCTTTACTATTTTAAAGTATCCTCTGTAAATAAGCATTTTATAATCCTTTATGTATTCATCCAGATTTAAAATGCTCTTTTTCAAAAAAGGAAGACAATATAACAGTCAATACAGCAAACACCTTTTATCTCATATCACCATCTTCCTGCCCCTCCTATCAACTGTCTCAGGAAACTCTCAGTTGAACTGAGACATAAAATGGAAATTATTTTCAGTTTCCCTTGGACTTTCAAGTTAAAACAAGAAGAAAACTGGAGAGGTGAGGTATATTCCCACAAAGAAAAAGTGAAGCATATTGCTATGCATCAGATTACTTAGCAATTCCCCTCTAAATGCCCTATCTAAAAGTTTGATTCAAAATATCAGCCAAACTGTTAGAAAAGAAACAGAAGACTTTTTGAGACAGAGTCCTGCTCTGTTGTCCTCAGCAGAGTGCTGTGGTGTCATAGTTCACAGCAATCTCAAACTCTCCAACTCAAGCGATTCTCTTACCTCAGCCTCCCCAGTAGCTGGGAATACAGGCAACTGCCACAGCACCCCAGCTATTTTTAGAGACAGGGTCTCACTCTTGCTCAGGCTGGTCTCAAACTTGTGAGCTCAGGCAATCCACCCACCTCAGCCTCCCAGAGTGCTGGGATTATAAGTATGAGCCACCTCACCCAGCCCCAAGACATTTTATCTGGCTTAAAATTATCAAACGTGTATTTTCAAATACCAAAAGCTATGTCCTACTTCACTTTTTAAGTTTCTTTTCATCATTGAAGGCATTAAAATTCAACAACTTGGCTCGGCGCCTATAGCTCAACCGGCTAAGGCGCCAGCCACGTACACCTAAGGTGGCAGGTTCAAATCCCCAGCCCGGACCCACCAAACAACAATGACGGCTGCAACCAAAAAATAGCCAGGCGTTGTGGCGGGCGCCTGTGGTCCCAGCTACTTGGGAGGCGGAGGCAGGAGACTCACTGGAGCCCAGGAGTTGGAGGTTGCTGTGAGCTATAATGCCACGGCACTCTGCCCAGGGAGACAGCTTGCGGCTCTGTCTCAAAAAAAAAAAAAAAATTCAACAACTTGGTCTCCTGGAGAGAAAATATACTAATCCAAAAATCTGATTCCATTAATCTAGCATAGATGAAAAAGAATCTGTGAAAATGGTGTGTTCCTGCACATCACACCTATACTTTTAAGGGTACACTTTATATGACACAGGGATCTGAGAATCCCCACACAGGTGGACAGAAGCAAACCACATGCCCACGCCTGGGGAAGCCAGGACTGTGCCATGCATGCGAGTGGTGGCACTGATAGCATTCTCACACTGTACAGATGCAACCTTTGATAATCCATATATTGGATAAAAATGAGAAAACTGATTGTTGTAGAGTATACATTCCACTTTTATAGCATGAGAACAGTGCGATCAGCTATTTATTCTGCAGTAACTCACATCTGTGATTTAGAGTCTCTGTGGTGTGAAGTGAGACGCCCACCATGGTCTGGTTCTCCATTCCACTCTTCAAGCTCTGCCTGAACTTCCACTTCTTGGGCTTGGATATTTATTCCTAAGTGCAGATGTCACCTGCTCTTCACATCGTCCTAGGCTTTCTGAGCAGGTTCCAACCAAAAAAAAAAGGTGAGGCTAAAAGCTCAAAGTGAGCTAATATGAGCACAGCAAAGAACCCTGCTGCTCCGCAGTAGGTGGTCAGAACCGTGTCCTCTCGAGGGAGGTTGCACTTGGAGAGAGCGTGTCCTGTGGACGTTATGCTGCCCTGGAATGACAAGGGGACATCATGCTGCAGTGACCACACCGCATGTGACCTGACATGACAGTCTGACCCAGAACAAAGAGGAAAGGCCACCTTCTCGGGTTCCATCGGGTGAGGTAAATAGCCCTCTTCACCTGAGACCCTCCACCTGTACTGGGCACAGCTCACAGTGCAGACACTCTGAGGCCCGAGTATGCTTGGCTGGAGCTGCTCTGGGACACTGGCCTCTGTTGAAACCAGCCTCTGGCCCAGTGGGTTCCATCAGATATTGGGAGGGGATGCGTGACCCCAGGCAGAGAGGCACCATGGAGACCGAGGGGCATTAGTCAGTGAGGACGAGGAGTGCGGGAGTCTTTATGCCACTGGACACTAACCCCATGGGCTTTTCTTCGTAGACATTTTTGTTATGTGGAATGACAGTGCAAATGTATTCATCTACTTTCAACTTGAAAACATTATGTCCCCACCTTTTATGGGCAAAACTACCTGATAAGAGAACACTGCAGGAAACCATGGCACTGAACTGTCAAGTGGTCATTAATTGAAACATCTTTGCAAAAGATGCACCATTTTCTGCCAGAGCACATTTGGAAAATAAGAAAACCCAGAAAAGTATAGCCAACGAATAAGTGATTTCCTTAGAAAATTACACACACTGGGCAGGCCCCTACCTGCAAGACAAGCCCATCTGTGAGGTGTGCCGCCTCCCTCCCTCTCACTGCTGGGAGTAGAGTTCTGTTCATTTGCTCCTAGAAAGGTGTCTAGAGAGGGCAAGGAGCTGGGCATACAGGGAGGGACATGTGTTCATGGCTTATGTATATTTTTGCTGATTGCAGCATTAAATAGTTGATTGCTGTATTGACTTACATACATATGAAAGCTTTCGGACAAAAATAAACTTTCACTTACCATGATGAAACTGGGGTTGTTTCTATTCCTCCAACTGAAGGACGGGACACTGAGTTCAGGGATACCTCCCGGATGCAGCATCTCACAGCTATTGTGTGTGTGGCCACTCAGGACCAGGCGTGGCCGAAGCCACCACAGCAGCTGATCAAAAGGGACAACAAGGCAGGCCATTAGCACTGGTTCAGCAAGGTGACACCTTCACTGCTTATTTCAGTAAATTAAACCCTAAATCCTTCTTTTGTATGAGCAGTTTACTTTTTCCCTTAAAAATCCTTTTAGGCCAGGCATGGTGGCTCATGCTGTAATCCCAACACTCTGGGAGGCCCAAGCGGGAGGACTGCCTGAGCTCAGGAGTTTGAGACTAGCCTGAACAAGAGTGAGACCACATTTAAAAAAAAAAAAAAAAGCTGGGCATTGTGGCCAGTGCCTGTAGTCCCAGCTACCAGGGAGGCTGAGACAAGAAAATCACTTTGAGCCAAGAGTTTGAGGTTGCTATAAGCTGTTAAGCCACAGTACTCTACCAAGGGTGATAAAGTGAGACTCTGTCTCAAAACGAAACAAAATAAGCCTTTTACTTTGTTTATACTAAACCAAAGGTGAGGTAAGCCTCTCAGAGAGCTCTTCTCAGCTCAGATTTTATATATTTTTATTACATTTTATATTATAAATATTTGTATGCATGTATTTTATAAATATATTCCACAGATATATATTTTATTATATGTAAGTGTAATATATATTATATAAATATATATAAGAAAGCACCTTTTAATTAAGTCCCTAAAGATTGGGCTCTTAAGATCCATTCACATTTCCAAATACATTTAGGTTGGTGAAAAACAAATTTTGAATACAAAGAATAGCTAAGCATATTATTGACTTAAAATTAGGAAACAGAAGTAGATTTATTGGAGAGAAAAAATATTAAATGAGAGCATGAGTTAATATGTAAACCTCACCCTCCACCCCCCCTCAGGGGCTGACTGGGGTGCCGCCTTCCTATCCTTGCAAACACCTGCTGCATCCTGGGGGTGCTGCTCCTTAAAATGTGAGAGTCACACTGTGACACTCACATCCTGGTGGTACCCAGCTGGCAAACCTTTTGTGAAGCCTCTCGAGAAAGCACGTCATATCTCTCCTGAAACGGGATGTTCCTTTCCTCTAGGGGGGCAGCATCTTCCCCAGAACAGTTCTCATCACTTCTCCGGTAAAGTGGGTAATGCTGTCCAGGGTGTAAAAAGGAGTCAGTAGGAGAGACTTCAGGCTGCCCTGCATGTGGCGCTCCTCCCCCTACTCACCTGCAGGAGGACAGGTGCAGACACAGGGAGTGGCTGCCCCTCTCCACACTGGTGGGAAGCAGGATCCTGCTGGGAAAGGTCAGGGGTTAATCCCATGCCCCTGACACCCATCAGACACCAGCAGGGGTGGGGACGGTGATGAGCACAGGGACCCGGGGACAGAGGCACCTGTCCCAGCGATGCCTACCTCCCGAGAGCAGTTCAGTCTGTGGGAAATTGCAATGAGCTCTGCTTCTGCTTTGGAACAGAGGGTGCAACGGTCCCCTTCCAGCGCCACACTGTTAATCATCACGAAACTGAGGCAGATGGAGGACAGTCAGGGCCACTTGGGATATGTGTTTCCTTTCCTCAGATACCCGTGAAAGGAAGTTTCCCAGTGTGAAGAAACAAGGCCAGAACTGCTTTAAATTCCAGCTAGACTAACTATTCTTAAGTATTTTAAGAAAAATAGCACAGTCTCACTTTGTTTCTCTCAAACCTATGAGAAATCCCAGGGTGCAGAAGCTCTGGGGTCTGACCACCTCTGAGCACACAGCTGCCAGCCTCACCTGTGGCAGCAGAGGGGCAGGAGAGCAGCAGCCAGCCCAGCAGTGGCTGTGGAGAGTACATGAAATGGCCCAGCAGCTGTTTAGAGCAGAGCCTGCTACCAGAAAGGACTCATAATGTTAGACTATCCATTATCTTAACATGGAGAGTAAGGCACAGAGGACTGTGGTTACATAAGAACACTTGGGGTGCTGATTAAGCTAAATGGGTGTGGATAATCCCAAACTAGGATAATTACAAAGTCAATTATGGTTAACCTTTGTAACCACCTTTCCTTATTGTATTTTTTGTACACTCCCACTAACCATACTTTCATTTCCTGTGTCCATCCCACCCTGGCACAAAGACGCTCCCTGTCAATGAAGTTTAACTAGTTTTAGAGACCAGGAGCTGAGTTAGCAAGTGCTCTGAAACATGAAAAGAGCGTTTACAAAGTTTCTGGAACACTATGAATAGAGGGAGATACCTCAGATTGCATCCTGTCTCTGTCAGACTCAGGGAAGGAGCCCTCAGGCAGAAGGAGGAAAGGAAAGCATTTGTGGAGAACTCACAAGACCGAGATGACCTGTCTGGCCAGCCCTACAAGCCAGGCAGCCACAGGAAGGGCAGAGGAACAGAAAAAGCATCCCCTCCCACTTGGTCTCCATGCCCTGTGTCCTACAGAGATGGGCACTGAAGCAGGCGAGCAGAGGGCATGGCACTACGGGTCAGGGTAGATGGGACAGGGTGGGCACAGAGCTGCAGACACACCCAGGCACACCTGCCACCATGTCTAAGGACACCGTGACTACAGGACAGCCTCTGCGGAGTGAAATAAGTAAATTCCTATCAAATTAAAAAAAAACTTTATATAAAGTGTCTGATGAAGCATACACCAGCCAGAGACCTTGCAGACAGGAATGACATCATCCCTGGGGAAAACACAGAGACACCCAGCCACTTTCAAAAAACAAAGTTTCTAAGGACTAAAGATCTTCATAAGAATTTACTTGTAAATTTACAAGAATTTACTTATAAATTAGTAATACTCACTTAATTCCTTTCCATGAAAACAGCCTTTCAGAACTGAAGACTTTCTCAAACCGTTTTATTTTATATGTGGTCATCCTAAATTCAAAAGCAAAAAGAAATATTTTTTAGGATAAGCCATTTTAGAACTCCTAGAATTACCATGAACACAGAAAACTTTTCAGACCTTACATTTCAGATTAGCATTATCAGTTCAGGGGTCCAGCTCACCCCAGTCTATCAAGGTTCAAATCCCAGTTCTGCTAGTCCATTACTGTAAGGCCCAGGGCAAGTTACTTAACTCCACAGGACCTCAGTTTCCTCATTAGACAATGGGCAAAACTCAAGGACCATGGTAGAGATTAAATGAGTTGCTATAAGGAAGTGAAGTATTTAGCACTGTAGTGCTATGTAAATATTAGCTATTAAAAGCCTAGATGGTCTTATTTTCTGATTCCTAAGGAAAATAATTTGCCAGGCTGGGCTGAGCACAGTGGCTCACGCCTATAATCCCAGCACTCTGGGAGGCCCAGACAGGTGGATTTCTTGAGCTCAGGAGTTAGAGACCAGCCTGAACAAGAGTGAGACCCTGTCTCTACTAAAAATAGAAAAATTGGCCAGGGTTGTGGAAGACACCTGTGGTCCCAGCTACTTAAGAGGCTGAAGCAAGAGAATCACTTGAGCCCAAGAGTTTAACATTGCTGTGAGCTAGGATGATGCCATGGCACTCAGGGGGACAGAGTGAGACGCTGTCTCAAAAAAAAAAAGAAGGAGAGGAAAGGGAAGGGGAGGAAAGGAGAAGAAAAGAATTGGCCATTTAGTGTATGCTGTAAGTTAAATATTTCCTAAGAGCACACAGAATTCATTCAATAGATATTTGTTGAGGATATACTATGTGCCAAGATAAAAATCCCTTAAGAAGCTTATATTTCGGCTCGGCGCCTATGGCTCAAGTGGCTAAGGCGCCAGCCACGTACACCCAAGGTGGTGGGTTCGAATCCAGCCCGGGCCCGCCAAACAACAATGACGGCTGCAACCAAAAAATAGCCGGGCATTGTGGCGGGCACCTGTGGTCCCAG